ATAAAAATAATAGACAAGCTGACGAGTGTGAGAGCACGGACCACCTCTGGTGACGGTGACTCAATCTGCGTGGAAATGTTGTAAAGTTATGCAAAAACAAACATTAAGGAGGAAGAGCAGAGCCCAACCTGTGAGACGTTCACAGCTTCTCTCCTACCAGCTGCACCCAGATCTGTAAGAATCATCGCAGCCGTTTGTCAGGATAACAAACGCGGGTCAGTGTTGGTCTGAACCCAAACACTTCAGCTCAACATGGCAAACATTCATTTGGATGATCTCACCTCTGGATTCTGCAGAGAGGATGGAAATATGTTAGTCGGTCACACGGCAGTGAGGCCTGAAGGAGACAAAAGTTGAGATTCTGCTTTAGGGATGGGAGATTTCATCAACATGCTGTTTTGTTTACAGCTAACGCAACAGTTTGTTTTTCATTTTTTAAATTGTTCTGACTTCCCAGCCTCACCTGCATCATCCAGTCGTCGCTCCTCAGCTGCAGCCCGTCAACATCGGGCCACACCCCGGTGTAGCCAATCACAATGCCAGCCTCTTCTTATAAGGCCCTCCACCCAGGGCTCCATCTGCTCCCCGTTGAGCTTCAACTTGGCCTCCACCCCTTCTCCATTCTCATTCTCCCAGGTCGATCAGGCTTCCTTCATTCCTTCCTTCAGCCTCCACTCCACCACCAGTGTCTTGTGGGGGTGGGGGGAGACGTCTCTAATCCTCATCCTATAACTGCTCATCTTTATTGCAAAAACCCTTTATTTATTCATGTCAATAAAACTTTATAATTGCTGTTTTGTCTTTGTGGGAGTCTTTTCAGGTTGGGGTTAAATGAACAGAAACTAAAATCAAATACAAGATACATTTCTGTCCTTCAGGAACATAGTCAAAACTACAAGTATTTAAAAATGAAATACAACTGGAACTGGAAGAAAAAAGAGCACAGTGTTTTTATTGTTTTTTAAATAATTAAGCTAAGTGAAAGAGAAAAAGCAATTTGAAGGACTAGTTATTTTTTAGAGTCATACACAAGGATTGTGTAAATATTAGACAAAAATAGGAAACAGTAAAACTCCAGCATTAATAAAACAGTTACAGTGTTAAAAATAACAGAGCTTGATCTGTATCAGTAAGACTTAGAACGTTTTGGTACAATAATAACAGGAAATTTCTTCATTATCATTGCTGAAAAAAAGTAAAAGACAATGACAGAGGGAATTTCCATTTAGTTTGTGTTTTTAAAACTAACCAATCCTTTCTCCTGAGTTACAAAAAAACCCATACTTTTAATATTTGCATCGAAAAGGAATGTAAAAAATAACCATCGACAGCGATCTGAAACACTGAACCGGACGGAATTCTGGACACAAATCTATGGAGTCGTGTGACAGCCGTCCATCCACTCCCACATCCTCCCACTGGTTCCAGCACAGTTCAGGTACTTCATTAAAAAAAATAAATAAATAAAAACATTTCCTGTGAACACGATCAAGCCTGTGATTAGACTGCACCTCGACATAAAACGAAACGTGACGGAACACTATAGTGACACAAATTCTAGGTCACGACTAAATTATGTGCAGAACAGAAGCAAAGTTCAGAGAACAATGTTCACACAAAAGGAACGAGAGACGCTGGGAGACGAAATGGGAGTTAAACGCAGACGACGCGACACATGAGGTGTGGGAACGGCTCCAAGCTCTCCTGAATCAGACAAGCTGAGCTGCTAAATCGCTGTGACATGATCTGAACTTCTTCAGTTTGTCATGAGGCTCAAACTGAATTTCATTCAAACACTCATGGAGATCTGATATGCCGGCTTATCTGATGCCAGTGTTGCAATTTGGCTTCAAATGTGAGATTGTTCACTCTGGATGGAGGCAGAGCTACAATGGAGAAACACGGGGACACGGACGGCTGTGCTGGCTCCCATCACTGCTGGGCGTGTTGACACTAAGTCTGACTTGGCGACTGTTATCACAACTCCTGCATATCTTCCTTGAGCTGCATTTGTTTAGCAACATGCACGTTCATTTGACACTGTAGCGCAAAATTTCAGCAGCAGCTAAGCCGAGCTGCCACTGACTGGATAACTGGGTCGGTATTAATAGTTGTATATTTACATGAAATGTGTCCTTTAATGTATACTGCTCAAAAAAATAAAGGGAACATTTCACTTTAATTTTGTGTGTGGCTCCAAATCCAGGCCTCCATTGGTTAATAAATTTGACTTCCATTGATGATTTTTGTGTGATTTTGTTGTCAGCACATTCAACTTTGTACAGAACAAAGTATTCAATGAGAATATTTCATTCATTCAGATCTAGGATGTGTTATTTGAGTGTTCCCTTTATTTTTTTGAGCAGTGTATTTGTCTGTCTATACCTGACTGTTTCTTGTGTTCCTCTGTGTCCATTTTGAGGTGTTTGATCCTCCAGCTCCGCCTCACTTTCTTCTTCTTTTGTTCAGGGTCCTCCAGGACTATTATAAATATGAAGTTGTTCATTTCCCCTTCCCTTTTTGTTATTTGTTCCACTGGGAGGCAAGTTTTATAATCCATTGTCATCCTTTTAATTTACATTGTTCAATTTTTGTTTTTTCCTTCTGTATTAATGATAGGCTTTTGAATATGTTCACTTGAGTGATTATTACATCTTTATAACATTTGACGATGCTAAACGTGTGATGTGAACGTGATGTGTCCTGCATGCTAACACTATTATTTCGTACAGATCAGGCTGGAGAACAGAAGCACGTGCTATGTGCTAATGCTAACATCTCCCTTGTCAGGTTGAATAAACGGAGACCGCCTCCAAACCCAGACTTGACATCTTGTGGTTTGTCTGTGTTACTCCTTTAAAGTTTAATCAACGCTTAACGCAGTTCTTGTTTCCAACAGCCATTTATTGTGGACATGTCTTATAAAGTCCCCAAAAATACTGTCAGAACTAAAAAGGCGATACAAACCTAAATTTGTTCACAAAAATGGCTTATTTACATAAATAAAAGATACAAATCAAACAAACCCGTACCTCATTGACTGCATTGACTCCAGAGGAATAAAACTTAAAACTTCTTACAATCAGCTTCTTCAGCCAGAATTCCCCATGTGGCTGTAAGTGCGCCAGCCAATCCTTTCCCCAGGCAACACATGGTCCATGAAACAAAACAAAAGTTCCCCCCACATTCGAATGCACCCTTAACCAAAACCAATGAGCATCAACACAAATTTATTAAAAGAAACTACCACACGTTCACCACTTAATGTTTTATATTAAATACAATGTAACTACTGCCACCTTAAACCAAACAACAACAACAAAAAAAAACAAATAAATCATAGTTGCCTTGACGGCAGCTACAGTCCGATCACCACATAACACACACAGTGCAGAAGTTCACCGGTCGCACCTGTGCATTGTGACATCCAGGCCGCTGCGTGGTTAATGTTCTAGCACAGAGTCAAAATATAACATATAATCTCATGAAGAGGCTCAGTCTGCACTGATGAAGGTCAAGATAAGCTTTTATATGCATGTTTTGATGTTGTCTTGTGTTGTGTTTGGTAAAACACAACACAGTGACTTTATCAGTAAAAAGTGAGTTATAAATAGAGTATTCCTCCAGAAAGGTCAGAGCAGCTCCTTCTGATCCACTTACTCATTAATTTAGCTAACAACTGTTTGCTAACTATGTTTATACAATGTACAGGGTGAACTCTGCTTGGTGAGAACTCCAAGTGTAGTGGTGTTATGGACTCCTGCAGAACGCAGCTGGTGTGTAACACATTGTGATGGTGGCCATGCTTCATGCTCATGCTTGTTCCACATCAGGTATTTCAACTTTATACCCATATTTGCATGCAAGAGCAAAGTAGATGCTGCATAACATGACATACTAGTAGAGCAAACAATATCGATTTAAGATCAATAGAAACATTTAATGTCAAAATATTCTACGCTTGGAAATTGTTCAGCAAAAACAGGGCAAGAGCGACCAAAAGGACCATCGAAAACCAGGTGCTGCTGGACTGGCAGCCACACAGCTGACTGAAGGAGCTGAACAGTTTCACTGTGCTGCTTTTAAATGGACATTAAACTAGCCACAAAACTGCTTAAGGAATAAAGAAACACAACAGTTTGTTTCCAGATATTAGAAGAGAGCAGCAGCAGATCTGGATGAATTAATACTTTACAAGGAGAAGTCTTGTCTTTTTATCGCTCTTCTATAATGGTAAAACTTCTCTGAGTGTCTGCTGAACTTTGTGGAACTTCACCCCACACACACACACACCCCCATCGTGGAGAAACACCCGTCACACACAGAGAGACGATAACTCATTAGACTTAAAGAAAGAAAGACAGCAGCAGTCAGCCGTTGCAAATGAGTCTGAATGGGATTCTAAATTACTTATTTTACCTTAAACCAGCACAACATTTATCTAAAATGCACAAGCATTCACACCTCCTCGAATATTATGTCCTAAATACAAGAAAATGATTCATTCTGATAATGTTTCTTCTAATCAAAACATCCTTTTCATCTCACTTCGGCTATAAAAAAAATGTCCTTGGGGCTTAATCAACTTTCAGTATTTAAAAAAAAAGTGTCTGTGCGAGTGTGATAAAACATTTTATATACAATGTCTAAATAGCTCTTGACACACATTTCTAAAGGCTCTGCAGCACTGCATGATCCCAAAAGTTTAGATGTTCTGTCTCCTTGTGAAAGCTCTCACTCCTATGATCTAAATAACTTTGTCCTGATCTAAAAGCCACTCTGTCTAATAACTGCTGTAGGATTCCTAATTAACAGAATAAGCTTTGTGGGAATCTAAAATGACAGCTGAATAAACACTTTTCACACCAAAGACCATTACGCCTCTAAGGTTGCTTGGTTCAAAACCATGTTGTTGTTTTCTTAAAAGGTTGTAATCAATTTTTTTATTTTTATTTTTTAGCAAATTTTGCAACAACGACGGCCAACCAAATCAAGGTTTTACATTCTGTCACTCTTTATTGTTAATGGCTTTATGCTACAGTACCAGCCTGGTCTTAAATAATGTAATCATAACCTACTTTGAAAAACTATAGCTTTGTTCTGTATTGTAGCAAATTACTCAAAATGAAGCAACATGATATTATTTCATCATAAAGTTAGACTTACACTTACAACTAAATGTTTTTTGGGGGGAGTTTTCCACTCGGAACTCTAACATGGACATTTAATTGAAACAAACCAAGACGCACAAGTCTCTTTAATTCATAATACTTTTTATCATAAACATTCTTATTTTATCATTCGATTTAGATGAAAGATTCAATTTGCATTGTGAGAATTCACTGTAATGAATGTTGATGTAGTACCGGCAAACATCACAACAAATATGATTTGTGCTAGGAGACTATATCAAAGTCTCAAGGCACTTATGAAACAGAAAGTCAATCCAATCAAATCACCCAGACAGGATTCAAGTTCAATTACACACATTCCAGTTTGACCATCAACCTACGATCAAATCGTCTTTAAATCATTCAGGTTTCTCATAATAAACTCAAACCCACCCACAGCGTCAGGCCCTGAATTTCGGTTGCATACAGTCGGATCACGACAGACTGCAATCTGCTTGACCCAGACCGATTCCAAAATGCCAGACGGTAAACGATGGTCTCATTAAGGAAGCCGGCTGAGTTATGAAGTCTTCCCTTCACTCCTCAGCTTCCATCCTGAGCCTGCAGAAGGGAGCGGGCGCCTTCCAGCAGCGCCCTGCTCATGACGGGACGAGCGGCCGTCTGCTGCAGCAGGCCGCCATCATCCTTTTCATTAGTTTGCTGAAAAGCACAACAGAGGAGCACAATGGTTTCAGTGAGCAGCGACTGATCACACTTCTTACTTTAACTTCCTTCATGCTTTAGAACTATAGCCAACAGACATGAAAACTGGGCGTTTGATTTTTTTTATGTTGTACACAGGCATACCCAGACACAGTGAGAGGTTCTTTAAATATTTTAAAGAAATGCCTTATCTGCTATTTAGTCAGCCTTTGCTGCGTGGCAGTAAACTGATAAGTATTAATAATCAGAATCATCATTACTTTAATAGATTATGAGTAATTTGCTGACATATTTTCTATGATTGCCATTCAGTATTAGCTTCCATGTCTTTTAATAATGGAAATGTGCTTTTCATGGTTCACAGATTATCTATATGGGAACAACAGCAGTGCACAAATAGTAGCATTAAAGTTCAAATGAAAATTCCCTCTCGTGTTTTCGGTCTCTTCAGTACCAATGTCTTCTATATTCTTCTCCATCTCTAGTCATACGATTTTCATCAAAATGCTAGAAATTATTTTTGACCAAAACTATGCAACGAACAAATAATCATCCTCCCTAAAGTGCTCGAGAAAAGCTCATCCTTTTCTTTGACAGATTTCCAAGTGCATTGTTCATCTAATTTTAATTTAAAAACGACAAACAAACCATAAAATTGGTGAATATTGTGCAGTCAGTCTTGACATCATGTAAACACGTGTTAGAATCTTCACTCACCTGAAAAAGAAATCTGCTACTTTGCTACAGGATTCAGTCTGTGCTCACTCCTCCACCTAACGTGCCACATCCACACTGAATGAAAAAAAAAAAAGAAAAACATCATGTTTGATTTCAATGCAATCATGCTCTGATTTGCCATTGCTGATTGGCCATTGTTCCCAGGCCATAATCAAAAAGCCAATTTACAGAATAAATAATGATGCTGTCAGTCCCAGATTCATCGGCTGCCAGGAGGGTTTATTGGTAGAATATCGTGGGCGCCGTGGAATCAGATCACTGGGCAGTTCAGCAACCAAAAATGACTCAAATCCAACTTTTAAGCCTCTAAGGCCCTCTTGTGGTCTTAGAAAGTAATACATCTAATATATTCATAATAAAAGCATCTCTAGATGAACATATTTCCATGTACACAAGGGCGTAGGAACGAGTCTGTCATTGGGGGGGACGCATAT